AGAATCACATATTACACACGCAATAGGATTTAAAGTGACGGAAGGGTAACTTCGAATACCGGCCCCTTCCCGAATGAATGCAACCTGTTGAACGTGAAGAGGGGTTTTAATTTTTTTATGCTCGCGATCGGGCTCGTATTACCAGCCACTCGTATAATAGGTATCAACCTGTCGAGAGAAGGGGAGTTTTTTCTCGCGTCGCTCCGATTAGGCTCGGTCTTGTTCATGGAGGGAGGGGGCCGGGGGGGACAGTGTCAAGTACCGTTTTTTTTTTCATCGGCTTTTTATAATCGGCTGAAAAAGCTCCCTGCATCCCTCGAATCTCGAGAAACAAGTGCAATTACCTGCGCGATTATGGGGGGCATATCATAATATCTTTATTGTCCCGCTTATATTCATCTTATTCTCCTGTCCACCTGCTTGTATTTTATATTATTTTTCATGCACATGCGCAAATAATATGATATAATAATAAAAATGTATATGAAAATATATTATAATAATAAATAATAATATAATATCGCGATGTCATGAAGACAATTACGAAACATAGTTTTTAAAGAATGTGAACTTTAAAAATATAAATTATGTTTAAAAAATTATATTATATAATTAAATATTAAATTATATATTATATAGCCTCAAGAAGATGACATTATTGATTTTGTTACATGGATATAATAATAACAATGATACAACTCGGGAGGCGATCTCCTGCCGGAGATCCGCCAACGACACACAGAGAAAGTCCATTGTGTCTTGTTACATAGATATAAGAAAAATTGAATTTATCAAGATGTTTCATATTGCAAATGTTGCACGCAAATGTTTCTGTAATTTAATTAAAAGCAATTTAAAATAATATACGATCGCAAAAAAATATTTTGTTTTTCATCTTTTAACAATTTACTTGAGCATTGATGACATGCCATACGCTAGATATAAAAAATTCCTGTAAACCGAATAATATATATATATATATATATATAAAAGAAAAATATTTATTATATATAAAAAATTCGGTTTATAGGATATTTCCTGTGGTTTTTGTAATCAGCAAAAAATTTCTCGTCTTTCTTCTTTTCCCACGTCCAATTTCAGAAAGTGTCACCTCCAAATCTACGCCTATTTTACTTACATCTTTATTTATTCACAGAAAATTTTATAATCACGATGGAACTTTCCCTTTGCTTTGTTCGTTTGTCAAAAGAGTATATATTCAAAAGAGTAAGGATTATACCTTTCAAATATTCCAGTTCCCGGAAGGGAACCGCTATAAGAATATTTTCTTTTCGGCAAAAAAAAAAGAAAAAAAGGAGAAAGGATTAAAAATGTACAAAAAGCGTTACAAAAGTTGTGTCTTTAGTCTCGAACTTTTTATGTTTCATTGTCAAAATTTTTCTTTCTGAACTTATCTACTTCTTTAAATTACATTCAGGGAGTGTATTATCAGCGCTATTGTATCATTTTATTTTTATTTTACATCTAATAAATCGTAAAGGCAGAATGATGCAATAGGTCTAATAGCAAGCTCCCCGAATAGCCCTAAATTACTTTTATATAAAATGAGCAACCGTTCGTTATTACAAATAAGATACATAGAATATATGGTAGAATACATGTCTATTTGATCACGATAGTTGATTGACATCAATATTTCTATTCACTTTAAGAATCTTGAACATAATTTTAATAAAAATGTCATAACATTATTTTCCTTGTAAATACCAATAAATTAAATTTTAGGCTGCGCCGAATAAAAGGAAAAGGGACAGGGAACAGAGAATAAGAATTTCAACCTTTTAGTATTGAACGGGAATCGAAACGGTGGTTGAGAATAGAAATTTGAACGGATCCTAGGTTGACAAGAATAGGTAGATTACGACCATCAATAATTAAGTTTAATTTTTCTTAATATCTTACACTTCAACATAAACTTTTTATATGCAATGCACAGACATATATTTAGACATTTAGTACATTTTTAATTATAGGCTATGTCGTTTTCCTTCGTTTCTAAAAATTGCTTTATACATTTTTGTTATATTGTTTATAAATTTAATTTTGTTTTATTTAATTTACATTGTTCCATTTAATTTATATCAGAGAATGTCAACACTTTTCTGCATGACCAGAGGAAGAATGGCAAATTAAAAATAATGTGGGACGATCTTGGGCATTTGAAATTACTGAGGCTATGACCGATCTAATAAAATTACAATCACGAGAGTGATGGAATTACTCTTCTCAGAGTTAAAGTTAACAACTGTAAAAAATAATAATTAAAATATAATTATAATTATATTATTATTTTATAAATTTAACTTGAGAAGAATTTTTATTTTTTAAATTATTATTTTAATTACAGATTTCTATATAATATAGAAATCTGAAATAATATTATAGAAATAAAATAAGCTTATAAAAATATCATACCATATGTTGTGTATAAGGTGTATAATTAGTATATAATGTATATAATATAATATACACGACAAATATAATATTTCTATAAATTATTTTATAAATAAAATAAGTAAATTTTATAAATTTTCCGCTATCAATATCGAACAAAAATAATTTTTAAAAAACAAAACACATAATGTTAATAAATATAATTAAAATAATAATATAATTATATTTTAATTATTATTTTTACAGATGTTAACTTTAACTCTGAGAATACTTATGGTATATCAAGACATAATATAAATAAAAATTTTCCTTAATTGAGATTTCAAATTTTTGTTAAACATTATAGTCAAAAATTTTCTAAATTAAAATTTGGTTTACATATAGAGAGGAGACGGAAGGAAATAAATACTTACTACATCGATACGTAAGTAAATAATATTTATTGTTATCGTTATTACTAAGGCACTTGTTATCGATATAAAAATGTATCTCACAAATTATTGCCAATGAGCATATTTAAATACTGACATTAAACAACTAAATTGCTTTTTGTGTATAATCTCAGATATTAAGGAGACGAATGCGCAGCCTAAGCGAGGAGTTCTCGATCTAAATCTCTATCTTGCGCATCAACGTAGATCGCGAAACTTTGCGAGACGCCCTCATCTCGAGAACGTCTTCGACATGAAGGCACTTTATGTAAATTTCCGTGTCGCAATGCTCCCCAGAATGTAATCTACACTGAGTTTAGACTAAAAGCAAGATACAATATGGTAAATATTAATCGTTAAATTGCAATTAAAAAATAATACATTAAACGCGCTTGATCTGCATGACATTCCTGGAAGACTGTTGATCGAATCGATCCACGTCGACACCGAGAAACGGCCGTACCGATTTCGGCAGTAACGCCAATCGGAAGGGGACGTCGCCATAAATCGTGAGGCACGGCGAACTCGAATAAAATAAAAAACTAAAAAGCGGAGCTGAATAAAATTGAAATTTTGAGATAGAAGGAAGCGAATAAAAAGGAGAAACTCAAAAATCTGAATAAAACGCATATATCCTTAATCAGGTTATTAAAAATGGCATTTTAAAAATGTCACGAATACAATCAATGGGATGATCGAACTTGTGTACGTAAAATAAGAAAGCTCACGTGATTCATACCGTGACTCGACGTGCGACGTCCCGCCTTCCAGAGTGTCGGTCTCAAAAATACAGCGAATAACATAGATGTCAAATCAACGTTTACACAATCGCCCATTTCTTTACTATTTTAAAAGAAAGGAAAAATAACCAAGTCGCGAAGATTCGGCATTCGCACGGTCAACCAGTTGAATAAAAAGAGACTTCAACGCAGGAGCGTGCGAATAACGAAACGCAAGTTTCTCCGAGGCTTTTCCCGGCTGCAGGAAAAGATGGGAGAACGCTGACATTACAAAAAGTTTTACATGATAAGATTGTCGAAGTTCTTAATATACAAAGGGGCAAGAAATTCACGTGACTATTTCGATCGCGTGGCAAACGCGCTAATATTCATATTCGATGGAAACTTTATCTTTTGTCTCCATTACTTATAGACACTGCCCATTGCTCACTCATGAATATAAACATTATTATTATTATTATTTAATTACGTCAATCTTCGTTACGTATCGATCAACATATGGATATTGTCATTTGCTAAGCAATGGAAATAGTCGCGTAAATCTCTTTCCATTCTCAGCTGCCACATATAACTAATTGCATACACGCGTTATCTTCTTTGCCGGAAAACGTTATACTTTCCGGCAATAAATAGGCCGTGAGTTAATCCGCGATAACGAAAAATTCACTGTTAGCGGCCTCTTTTATTTCGCGTCACGCCAATATTTCTTGACAGAACCATGGAACGCGAAAGAATCCTTATAGATAAAAGATAAATCGATAAATCTATAAATACCAGATATTCTTCTCGTTCTGGCAATCTCCGTTACATAATTATATGATAGTATAAAACGTAAGTGAGAAGTTTACAATCTAACAGCATTTCTCGAAAAATATCAATATAATTGCAATTTGTAACAAGAGTATAGACTTTACATATAAAAAAAATATATATATACTCCTCTTGCGTTAATCCGCGGCAGAAATATTCAGCCAACGATCTAAAAATATATAGCTCACTTTTAATAAACTACATTTATGTGTTTTATATGGACGGTTAATGCAGCAAAAAACGATGAGTAATGAGTGGTCACATTAATTGATTATAAAGACAAGGCACTCTGCTTTGAAGCATATCGTTCGTAAAAAATTACACTACAAACGGGATCGCAGACGTTACATGTTTCCAATACATGTAATATATATATATATATATATATATATATATATATATATATAACGCGATTTAAAGAGTTGATTAAACATTGTACAATTCCGTATGTCATATTCGAAATATTGATAAACGTCTGTGCTTGTATTAAAATCTCTTCAATCTTCATCTTTAGTAAACATTGCTATTGTTCCGCAAC